CTATTCGACCAAAACAAGTTCGTGATTATTTTTACAAATTAAATCTATCCTTATGTTACTGTAATGTAATCTAAATTAATATTTATTTAAATTTTAAAGAACCCAGCAATATTATGTGGGCAACCCTAAGCTAAATCGACCGGTACAACAGTTGCAAATACTATTAGACTCAATGTTAGCTAGAAATTGGCACAAAAGACCCGATTGTAAAGATATTCTGTATAAATATAACGAGTGGTCTATTGATAAAAATATTATTCTAAACGATGCTAATTTAAAGTCAACGTTACAATCGTACAAATCACGTGATCCACAGTTTTTCTATGAATTTATAACAACTAAACTGCAAATACAAATCGAGGAAAGCAGTTTAATAAAAATTAAAGTGGGCCATTATCAAAAATCATTTGAAATGTTATGTAAAATTGGATCAGGAGGTTTTGGCGATGTGTTCAAGGTGAAAACTAAATCAAACAGTGAAGTATACGCTGTTAAAGTAATTGATTTCATAGCGAAAGGTATATTTTTAAATAGGTAATATTTAATAACATGCTAATTATTTAACAAATTATTTCAGAATTAACGGATAAACATAAAAGAGATGTCTATAAAGAAGTGGAATATTTAAAGCGAATTGACAACAAATATATCGTCCACTGTATGGACGCGTGGAGGGAAATGGATGTTGTTTATATTCAGCTCGAGATGTGTTCACAAAATTTAACGAATATTCTGGAAATCAAACCACAAGTATTCAAACGATTGCCAAAAGAATCCATGAATTCATACGAATATATCATTTCGTGTGAAATATTTAAAGAAGTTTTAGAATGCGTTCAGTATTTACACGGATTGCCATTAATTCACAGAGACCTCAAACCCGACAATATATTAATTTCGGATAATTCACTAAATGGACGATTTATAAAGTTATGTGATTTCGGTCTGGTAACAGAACATGATAATATTATTCACAATAAAACACTTAATAAACACACAGCAGATGTGGGAACCGAGCGATATATAGCGCCAGAAGTTATATTCGGTGCAAAATATAACCACAAATGCGATATTCATAACCTGGCAGTTATTGGTGGCGATATATTCGGAATAAATGTCCTTACTGATTTAGACAAGTAATTCGTAAATTTAATTAAAAATATTGTTTCAATAATTTTTAAGTTAATATTTTTCATATTTTTAGTAAACAACCATATTCATTAACAGACAGACAATTAAATGGACCGGTAGCCCATTTGAAACAAGTTTTGGATCAAATGCTAGTCAGGCGTTGGAATGAAAGGCCGGAATGTAGTGAAGTGTTGGCTAAATATAACGAGTGGTCTATCGATAAGAATATTCTCTCAAATGATGCAGAATTTGAGTCCACAGTAGAGAGAGTTCATGCGATTGAGACACAAATTAGATGTAGAGATGAGAGTGAAAGAGACAAACGATATATCGATCGCACACTTAATGATGATTATTATGGCGTACAGAATGGGAAACATTTTTTCAAAAATTATTTATCATATATATCAATGCATTAGAATCTATTGCTAATATTCAAATATTATTTGTTTTATTATTTCAGCAATATGTTTTTAAAATAAATATCAAAATATATTTATCAACTAATATTTGATAATTTGATATTTTACAATTTATTTAATATTTAATTTTGTTTACAAACTGTAATACAGTATATTGTATTAAATTGTCTATACTTAATAGTATGTTTTAAAATGTATACTTTTGATTATCAATATTTCAATAAAACAAAAAGAAATTTTTGTTTTCTATTTATTAATTATTTTAAATTTATTATTGTTTACAATTAAATTCCAATGTGTAGAAATATTTGTCATTAGCACCCTGGTACATTTGAAGGTAACCACACCACCACAAATGCAATGCTTATACATGACATTATTAGACTATAATTGCATCTTTTAGACTATCCATGATACAATCACTGCTCCATTTCCAACTAATAAATCACATGAATTTGACCAGGCTCATTTAACCCGTGCTTTGTTTTATCGTCCACTGTGTGTACAACTGGCCATAGAAAGGAACGCCAGGTTTTTGGTTTTGACGGTATAGTCGCCCTGTCTGTACGTATTAGGAAGAACCTGGATACTACATTACAGGTCAAACCCACTACATTACTTGAGTTACTTACCGTATATTAGTTTAAAATGAATTCATTTAGAATTATATTAAATTTTTTTGGGTAAATAATTTAACAAATTATATTTTTTATAAGTAATATTTTATTTTTTATATAAATTATTTAATTATGTAAGTCATTGTCTAAAATATATTTATAGTATAGTTTTCTCACAATTAATAATACTGTCACCTTGTAAGTTTAAGTATTATTTAACGTACTAATTATTTTTAATAACTTTTAATCATTTAACATTAAATTAAACAAAAATATTTTAATTAATAAATACAAAAATTGAAATTAATTTATATAATTCTTTTAGGTGAAACAGAAAGTCCGTGGAACAATTCATTTTAATATATCTCCCAAAGTACAAATGACAGAGAATATTGCTATATATCATTCATCGACAT